ATGGGTGTCAACTACTTCTTCAAATGCAATTTTAATTTGCTGCTGCAATGGAACTCTTTGCATCGAGAGAACGTTACAATGGAATGCACGCAAAGTAACGCTTAAAATAGACTTCATTATATTTTCTAAAAAAAGGATATTTGATTTTATGTCTCTGATGGGAAGTTTAAGCGATCCAGAACAGCCTCCATCTGTTCATTCCAGAGAAATCAAATGAAATGTTAACAAAGTTTTAAGTCTTTATTTATGTGGATGCAAATAAACGCATAAAGTCATAGGGCAGAGTAAAACTCAATGCAGTTTAAAATCGAACTAATGCTCATTTCAACATAGAAGGGCCACGGACATTTTTCAATAACTTTTGATAGAAACAAAATAAAGCCCTGCTGATTTTACTCTTGGCAAGACGAGATAAGGCAAAAGTAGTGTACAATCCGAATAGTCAGATCCGCCATTCAAGTATTCGCCTATTTTCCTTGGCTTTTCTACTATTAATTCCATGATGCCCCGTGGGCAATGCTACATGGAACTCTCATGCGACTTAACGCCTTCCGGTCATTGTTTAGCAGTGTCTTATCAACCACCGAGCAAATCAGAATGTGAGCAGATCACAACATATAGAGCAGACTCTAGCTCAGGAGTACCCAAATAGTAGAACAGTGGATTACGCTATTCGCATTTTACACGTATGGCTTTATTGTAAATTTTTTTCAACATTATACAGTTAAATGTCTGTGCGGATTTGAATTGTGATTTCATGTATTTTCGGAATGGTGTTAGACTTACCATTATTAATGTAGAGTTTCTCCTATGAAAAAATGCTTTTTCAGTGATATATGCACTGTTTTCGCTTGAATGCATTACAAACTATGTCGAACAATAATTTGCTACTTAAAAAAGAGAGTTCAATGATCAGTGTTGGTTTTATTGAGAGTGAGCGTGATTGAAGTAGAAAACCATGCTCACATGATTATGGAGATATCTCACCTCTGTCTTTCAGGTGATAAATTATTTTCTTCATTCATTGTAATGTATTCAAGGAAGAAGAGTGCATAGATCGTCACAAATGCATTTTTCGTAAAAAAATCACCCCAAAGTAACAATGATCGTGTAAGATCAACTAGAAATACATTATTCTAAAAAGAAAATAAACTGTGATGCCATGTTCAGTATAGTCGAAAACTTATGTTTTCATTTGTTTATCATAGGACAATACCTGAAGAAAGAGAAGCCTGAAAGCTTTGGGAAAGTTGTCTGTTAAATCTAAACCTTGTGAGATAAAATATTCGTACTAATCTGTTTGATTTTAGAAAACGCTCTGAACTATTGACCCATGCAAACAATTAACAGATTCCTATAGCAATCTTCAGAAGTGCAGTATGGCTTTACAAAGATCCTCTAAAAAAGAGATGTTCGAATATTTTCTCGGAAACAGATTTCACCGATGAAAATATGTCCCGCAATCTTGGATATCAGATGTTGAAAACCGAAGATTTCGATCTTGTTCCTGTCGACAGTTATATAAAAGATCTTGAGTACCTTGAATTTTGTCACCGATGCTAGTTTATCAACGACGTATTGAGGAAATATGAATGGAACCTAAGAATCATCTGTGAGGCTACCAAAAAAAGATGGCTTTCTGTAGGACATGACGGAAGACCAAGGGGAAAAAGCGAAAATGCCGTACTTCAGCCTACTTCCTGTACTTTCAGACTAAGCCATAACTGTGCATCAGATCTGTTTAGCTATTTCAAGTCTCCTATCGATCTGTGTTACGGTATATTAGTCGGAGTTCAGCTTACGTAAGTCTATCTGACAATAAAGCTCAAATACTCTACTGCACTCCCACTGTGGAAGTACAATGAAGTATTTGGGCTTTAGGGTGAGGGTGACTTTCGTAATCTGGACTTCGGCTAATATACCGTAACACAGGTCGATAAGAGACTTCACATACCTAAACAGATTTGATGCACAGTTATGGCTTAGTCTGGAACTACAGGAAGTACACTGAAGTACAGCATTTTAGCTTTTTCTCTCTTGTGGAAGACTCTCTTGTAACTTATGAACAATAGGACAGAATAGAAGACTTCGGGTCTTGTAATGTATTGATGGCTTTAATTGATCTTTTCTACCAGGTGTCCACCTAAATGTTAATTGTATGTTGGTTTATCATTAGGCTTTTTACGTTTTCCTCACAGGATCGAACCACCGCTTGATGAGCTTTCATAAGTCATGTGAAATTGCGTCAGGGAAAAGAGTTTCATATCAAACGATGTTGCTAAGTCAATCATACGTTGTGTCTTGTTGATCAGCACACCATAGCAATATAGAATGATTAAGTTCTGATGGCTTCTCTTTTATATAGTCAAACACAGATTATTTTTAGCAAAATAGCACAACACAAATGACGACATATATCACGTTTACCAGCGACGCAGAAGAGAACCAGCAGCATATTTTGTTAGTTGGAGAAAACAGGGATGACACGTCATGAAGGAAGAAAGATCGACGCAATAGGTGAGTCAGACATATTTCTTTAGCTGATGCAATCATAAGCAAGTGATTGATGAAATGGAAGAAAGGAAATAAGCGAAAGAAACGACATAATCAAATAACCGAATATTACAACGCATTTAGGTTAATGTCTAGCCGACGGAATCCTTGTTCGTACACCATGGACTACAAAATAACTATATTTCACACAGAAATTCATGCATATCGTAAAAAATCCAACGTAAAAATGCTTATGATGTCAGTTAATACTCTAATGAAGAGTTCGAATGATAAACAAGAATATCAGTTATTAGTAACTGGTACTAAAAGGTTTTTTCTTGGATGAATAATTGATACCATAAAAACTCTTCTCGAAATAAATTTAAGATCAACCTAAAAGCATAGAAAGCCTCAACAGGGTGAGTGTAGTTGTTAAGCTAATTCTTCTCTTCAACCATCCACATCTACACCGACACCAACACCCACACCCTTTTTTCATATATGTTTATCATTGAATTAAAAACCAAGTATGTCGATGTGCTGAGGTAGACATGTAAAAGAGAAAAACAGTGTTAAAACTGTTTGGTATGTCCCTGAAAACACACTTGAACTACTAACAAACGTTTAGTTGCTCCATACGTAGTCACTGTTTAACTCTTTGACGGAGGACTTCTTATAACAAGTAAAATAAAAATCCACTGTTAACATGGTATACTTTGAAAATTATTCACAATCGTATTCCTCGCATATGAATCTTATTTAAAATTGCAATGCTATTACTAGTAGTATCGATGTCTGAACACGACAAATATTGAAAAGGCCTATTTTACTACATTTTGAATTCACTCTCTAATCCAATTTTGAAAACGTGAATTTAGAGGCTTCACTATCAAAAGGTTAAGCAGGCAAAGTGTACATGTCTTCGGCTGTTTAAACACGGATTTTGGAACATGTCAAGCAGTTTTAACAGTTTGAATTGATGTGGATGTGGCTATTATTGTGAATGTTTCTATTTAGCCACAACTACATCCAAACCCATTCCCATCCCACATCTTACAACAACAAATACCTACATCTCTACCATTAATCAAAAAATCACAACTCTAAAAAAACTAGTTATCAAAAGTAGTTTTTCCTGCTGAATGTAATCAACAACTCAACAAGAGAACTATAATACAAATATACACTTGAAAAAGGTAATGTATGAGTATATGACAAAAAAAAAATTTCTTTCTCGTTCTGTTCGTTACTTCGGACACTCGAGAAGAACGACAGAGAAAGTCAGAAGGTAAATTATATGCGATGTAATATCTATTTATATGTATTAAGAAAAAAAGCTACAAAAATGAAATAGAGAGAGATAAATATGTAAATAAAGTAGTAAAGAGATCACTTGTTTATTTTAACTAGCTATAATAATGCGAAAATAGAACTATTTTACTATAGATAATTTACTATTGAAATAGGATGTTCTTCTAAGACAGAAAAAAGTACTATGAACATCAGAGGAGTCTGAAGTGAGAAGGGCAATCTTAGTATTTTGTGATTCATGCTATACAACAGCTATTAAGAAGCTCTCATTGTGTCTTCAACAACTTACTACGGTTTGCATATTTATAGATTTGTAAGCTTTTTAGAAAGTACATGAGATACACTGAACATACTTATTTTTTACAAAATATTCACGCTAAAGACATAAATATGAATTTTCATATATACATCATTCTCTGACCAAAAGCATGTATTTATTATCAAACGATTTGATTACTTCAGTTTTAGTTAGACAAGTGTTTTTTCTCAACTATAGTGCAAGAAAATATTTAAATAGCATTCGAAAGACGATAATGAATGACGACCAATCAATATCATATGACCTAAACAACATCGGAATTTTCTTGCGTAAACGAGCTTTATTCAGTAGCAGCCGAATGAAACCGTTTTAACAGTGTATAATCAAAATACATTAAAAAAACTATGAAAAACGTGATTGAAGTATGCATTAAATCAATACACACATGTACATGTTTTAAATCAGTAAAAATCCTGAATCGACACTAGAACGATCGAAGCAAACTCTATGGAGAGAACTTTTCTGAGCGAACTCCGACGTTTGACATTGTCGAAATTTCTAAAACTATTTTTCATGAGGCAAATCTATGAGAAAACTATCATGTTGTTAATGACTACATTTCACGTTTATTTTCGTCGTTTGCTTAAACACATTAAGCTAATGTGGGTGACGACCATTAAACTAATGTCAGCTGGTGATATCCAGTAATGCATTGACATCTACTAGCTTTGAATTTTCATTGGTAGATCCTTTTTGTTCTGCTCATACGAATTAATATTATATTGGTGACTATGCAGTGCACTATACAATCGCTAATTTGTATCCTTAGCTGACGTCAGTAACGGTTGAGTAATTTCTCTCACCCACATAACGATACTCAACTTATAATAATACTAATGCACGAACGATAATAGTATTGTGTTTATTTTTATCAAGGATGAATATGTATACATTTCTTCTCTTTCTACTCTTTGCAATTGCAAAAGCAGTTGATGGCTATATTTGTCTCGAAAGACGTGTACCAGATCAAATTCGTTTGGCTTTTGCTGGTAACAATGCTGTGAATGTCGGTTGGCACTCGTATGCTTGTCCATTCAGAATTGACAATCCAAATCCTACTCCAACGGTCTTCTATGGATTTTCACGTACAACGCTCAAGTTCACTTCGGTCAACAGACAATCAAAGGCTTATAACAGGCGAAATATTATAAAAACATCTTGGTTTTACAGTGTTGAACTTCGAAACCTTAAACCATCTACTATCTATTACTATAAAATTGCTGCATCGCAATATGTATCAGCATCAAACATTTACTCGTTTAAATCACCACCAACTCTCGGTGATCGACGTCGAGCCATAAATATTGCTGCCTATGGTGATTTGGGTGTAGATGGTCTCCTCGGAACTGTGACTAATGGTGCCGGTCTTTTTGAGCGAGCATTAAGAGCTTTGCAAAGAATTTTACCAAAAGTTGATTTTTTCTTGCATCATGGTGATATTTGTTATGCAGATAATACTCCTTTACTTTTATTCGGAAAAACGTACGAAGAGGCTATGGATTATTGTCAAACAGCTATGATGAAAATAACAAGTACGCGTTTCTATATGACAGCTGTTTTGACATATTCCAAAATAACAAATAAGCCATCATAAAATGTTGCACTGAGGAGCTCACGAGGATATCGAAATATGTGAACTGTTTTTTGGTAATCACGAAATAAACTGCACGGAAATTCCGGTTATCAACCGTGCGTGTCCACGTAATTACAGAAATCAAATTCCTTACAGTAATCGATTCAATATGCCAAGCAGACAGTCTGGTGGATACTTGAATTCATGGTATTCATTTAATTATGGTTTTGTTCATGTGATCTCCCTCTCGTGTGAATCGGATTTTCCAAATGCTCCTTCAGGCAACCTTCTCGATAGCACAACTCAAGTGAATTGGTTAAAAAAAGATTTAGCTGCTGTAAATCGCGCCATCACTCCGTGGGTTGTTGTCCAATGTCATCGACCCTGGAAAGGATCCACACCAGTTGAAACTATACTTTCCGGTGGAGTCATCAATTGTCCCGCATGTCGAGCAGCTTTTGAAGCTATTTTAATCAAGTACAAGGTGGATATCTACCTTGCTGGTCATGTACACTGGTATGAGCGCATTTGTCTAAATGGTATGTATGATCACTTTTGTTCCGAACCTTTTCGTCATCGAGAAATAGGAATAACTGAGGTATTTATGAAAAAAGGGCAATAGTAGAAAGTATTAAGACAAGTCAAACGCTTTTAAAAGTTGATAATTTATTGTTGTACATGTAGAAAACTACTGTTAAGCATGGGACCAATTTTGCTTAAATAGTGAAACATATTTGTCGATAATCTAACAATCAACTATAAAAAAATTGTTTGCCCTGAATCTGTTTTAGGCAAGATCAGAACCACTAACTATGTCAATCCGCAGGGTCCAGTCTATCTGACTAATGGTGCTATTGGCAATCCAGAGGGCAATGAACATGTTCACAAGCAATCGGCAGACTCTTGTCGCATTATTACTCAGCCAGGCTTTGGCATTCTCACATTTTTGGATGCTACCCATGCCAAGTTCGCTTTCTACAGAACTTTGGATTTACGCGTACTTGATCAAATCAATATCATCAAAACTCATT